ACTGCTTCTCACTAGGCCTGACCATGAAACATGGCCTCAGTGACCAAGAGGACTTAGCACAAACTCACTCTTCCAGTCTGACACAAGAAACCTACCCTATGATTGGCCCCTCTGTCTTTTGTTTATTCACAGTATCTACTGAATGTCACAAACCTGAATTGACCTCAGAGTCATTGATAGCTCCCCTGGAAAGGCCAGAGCACTGGCCTACCTGTGAGTCCTGAGCCTGGCCCTCCCCGTGCATGCTTCTCCTCTAAAACTCTAGCCCAATGTGGATTTTGCTCCCCAGCCCTGATCCCCAGCTCTGGCCTCAGATTCTGCATGCTCTGGGAGTCAGGTGGGGGCTCTCTGCTTTTCTGATGTTTCCAGGGGCCGACCAGGGAGAGTGTGTAAGAGGTAGATGTGTTGTTAGCAGGTAGTTTTCTTGTGGGTCCTCATTTACCCTGATACTCACTGTATTTTGTCAAAGGGCAAAATAATAAACATAGTGAAAGACAGACACTGGCTTCTCTTCCTGTTTCTAGATTGAGACTATCCTTAAAATCAGGGCAAGTTCAGAAACCCATGGAGCTGCAGTGTGCACTGGAGGATTTACAGGTAGGAAACAGGAGTGAAATATCTAGAACTTAAGGGTCACTTAACCTCATCTGGTACCCGTGGCTAACACCTATGCCTGAGGGAAGCCAGCTTCTCTAAGCAGCAGACATGGGTCCACAGGCAACACATGCACACTACTAAGAAAATTAGTCTGACTCCACAGTGATCTGCCTGAGGACTTAGTCCAAAACCACTGGCTTATCACAGTTTTAATTTCATGTTTAGTAGATGTCTGTATCATTCCCAGGGGTCCCCTTCCTTCAGAATCTGTTTCCTTGGTTCCTAAATCACAGGCAGGTTTGACTCAAAGGCAATTTTTCTTCTTTTCAAATGATCATAGTTTTCTAGTTAATGTTAATTTTCTCAAAGGCAGTGGTTGAGTTTCCAATGTTAAACTCACCCACATTCCTGAGGAACATAGTTAAGGTTATAATTCTGAAACACATTTTGGTGGTATTTGATTTAGGGGTTTTCCTCTGTGAAGGTGACAGGGAACTGAGGCTTCACCTCCTCATTTGTTCTGGAATGGTTCTGACATGGTTATAAGCTCTCGGGAAATGAGCTCCCGTGCACTTGGTTATCTGGTAGAATTGTGTAGGGAGGGAACAGACTGCTCCTTAATGCTCTGTGGATGGTGTTTGTGGTGGGATTTCAATCAGTTTAGCCGATGACTTTTAGTGCAGCAATTCCTGGGGCGTGGACACTGGGTATTCAAGGTTCACTGGGAGGAAGCAGGCACCCAAGCAGACAAGACACATGGAGTAGAGGGGTCTGGAGAATGTGAAGAATATTGTACCTTAAAGAAAAGCAAGTCAAAAAGAGCAGATATTAAGGTCCAGCATGGTCGGTATCTTATGCCTCCTGGCCAAGCATGCTGGTCTCTCTTTGCACTGGGCTGCCTGGTGTGGGACAATTCTGTATTCTGTCAATTACGTTTTAAATGAACACTGATTGGCAAGTAGCCAGGCAGGAAGTATAGGCGGGACAATCAGACAGGAAGTAGAGGTGGGGCAATGAGAACAGGAGAATTCTGGGAAGGAGGAAGCCCATTCCTCCCCAGTCCTGCCCAGACACAGAAGAAAGAAGATGTGACCTGCCCCACCAAAAAAGGTACCCAGCCATGTGGCTAATGTAGATAAGAATAATGGGCTAATATACATTATAAGAGCTAATACAAAGCCTGAGCTAATGGGCCAATCAGTTTATCATTGATATAGACCTCTGTATGATTTTTCTTTGGGAAATACTGGCTGTGTAAACTGGGCAGGACAGAAACCCCAACAAGCAGGCCCTCATATTACAGCTGCCCACTAGCCTGGCCAAGCAGGCTGGTTTCTCTTCGCACTGGGCTGCCCACTAGCAGCAGCTTGTCTGGTGCTTGGCAATTTTTCCTTTGGGTGCTGTGTAATTCGCTTGTGCTACCCCAAAACTCAGTCCTCAGCTGATAAAAATGGCTTCCTAGGTCTAGCCATTTGAAAGTGTTAGCTCCTTTTGAAGGTACTGGAGGCACATGACCAGGAAAACTTTTAAGTCTCCTCTAGAAAATAGGGTATCATCCAAAACAATGGACCAACCCCAAAAATCACCATAGAATTTGGATATTACCTCCTTAAGACATATAGGAAGTTGGGCGGTGGTGGCTCACACCTTTAATCCCAATATACAGGGGCAGAGGCAAGTGAATCTCTGAGTTTGAGGCCAGCCTGGTCTACAGAGTGAGTTCCAGGACAGCCAGAGCTGTTACACAGAAAATCCCTGTCTTGAACAGTTCCTCTCCCCACAAAAACTCCACAAAACAGGAAATACTTTGACTTTTTATCTGTAGTAATAGAGTCCATGCTGGAGTCATTCTGGGTCTCCCAACCCCATGATCCCATTAGGAATACAGGAAGAGGAAATCAAAATGGAAAAAACTAGAAGAGGATTGGGATATGGCCCAGGAAGTCCTAGGAGTGCAATGATCCTCTAAGGGAGCAACAATACTGACCAATATTCTGATGATGTCACTAAACAAGATAATGGCCAAGTCACATGGTCACCTCTATCTTGATGAAGTCACCAGCCAAGATGATGTGGGAGAATTGTCTGTATCCTGTCAATCATGTTTTAAATAAACGCTGATTGGCCAGGCAGGAGGTGTAGGCAGGAAAACCAGACAGGAAGTGGAAATGATGCAAGGAGAGCAGGAAAATTCTGGAAAGGAGGAAGTTGAATCCTCCCACTCCTGCCCAGATCACCGAAGCAGCAGGATGTGAGCTGCCCCACTGAAAAAGGTACTGAGCCACATGGTTAAAATAGATAAGAAAAATGGGTTAATCAAGATGTAAGAGTTAGCTAATAAGTAGCCTGACCTAATGGGCCAATCAGCCTATAACTATATAAGCACTATAACTTACAGAAATCTCTGTGTGGTTGATTTTCTCTGGGGCCTGCCAGTTGTGGGATACCAGGCGGGGACAGAAAACACAAACAAGCAGGCCCCCTCATGTTACACCAAGATGGTCACAAAGTCACTTGGTTTCTTTCTGTATGGTAGCTCAGCTCCATGATACATGAGCCCATACCTCACCAGGGCATGACTCCATGGGGATATAGAAATGTGAGTGGCCATTCCTTTATTTCTCAAACAAGCACCTGAGTTAGATGAGCATGGATATAACAAAAGAAAGTACCCCAAAGAGTGCTGATGATAGAAAGTGGCCCCAAAGAGCAAAGTAAAGAAATGGAGGAAGGACTTCCACAGTCTCAACCCAAAACACAGGGTCCATATGTGTCAGCACAGAGGTAACTGTGACTGCAAACTGCTGTTGTTTGGATCTTCATTTCATCTCACTCAGCTCATAGGCAGAAGCTAGGATGCATAAACCTATCTATAGGACATTTACTTAGCAGTCACTTCTCTGTGTTTGTATATACTCCCTGTGTGTGTGTGTGTGTGTGTGTGTGTGTGTGTGTGTGTGTGTGTGTTTGGTTGTAATCATGTTGGTGGTAGTGACTGTGGTGGTGGTGGTGGTGGTTGTATTGTCGTTGTTGTTAATAGTGGTGTTGGTGGTGGTGGTGGCGGCGGCAGCGGCGGCAAGTATGTCTATATGTCATGTATGTTATATGTCTGGTACCCCCTGAGACAAGATGACATCAGATCCCCTGAGACTACAGTTTAAAGATTCTGAGCTGTGTGGTTGATGGGGATCCAAGTCCTCTGGAAGAGTGCAGCCAGTGCTTGGAGTCACTGAACCGCCTCTCCTGTTCCATCCCTGGCATCTCCTGAGTACTCTCTACTGTGTGAAGTCAGGTGGGGGCAGGCTTCTAGTCTTCTCAACGGCCTTCTCTGCTGATGCAGCCTTTTCTGTTTCTACTCTCCCGCCACAGGAGAGGGGCAGAGGTGTACAGGGTGATAGTACACTGGACATTCCCCAGTAGGAGAAAGAGCTAGCTTCAGGGAGATGAGCAGACAGCAGCGTGTGCGAGGGAGATCTGAGAACAGAGGGGGGGCTGAGGAGACAGCAGCATGTGTGAGGGAGATCTGAGAACAGAGGGGCTGAGGAGACAGCAGCGTGTGTGAGGGAGATCTGAGAACAGAGGGGCTGAGCAGACAGCAGCGTGTGTGAGGGAGATCTGAGAACAGAGGGGCTGAGGAGACAGCAGCATGTGTGAGGGAGCTCTGAGAACAGAGGGGCTGAGCAGACAGCAGCATGTGTGAGGGAGATCTGAGAACAGAGGGGTTGAGCAGACAGCAGCATGTGTGAGGGAGATCTGAGAACAGAGTGGGCAAATGCCAAGGAGTGCTTCACGCGCTTGCTGAAGGCTTGGCCTCTAAGCTTTGTGGGACTAGGGAACAAGTCACAGCTGAGGTGAAATAGGACGCCGAATGGGCATGCACGGGAGATTGTAGCTCTCCACCATGGAACTGCAGCTGTGACCCACCAGGACCGTCCCTGTTGGCAGAACCCTGGATTTCATGATTTGCATCTATACAGCAGAAACCCCACGACAGGAAATAGGTGCAGAGTGGATCCCTCTGGACTCCTAGAACTGTACACAAGCCAATCTGCACTGTCACCCTTCTGATGGCAGAGATCACATGCCAGGAACCTGCTCCCCTGCTACAGTGGACTCCGTAAACTGCTCTTGCTGTGGTCTAAAGGTGCAGTCCCTCCCCAACAACCCCTTCCCTGCTAGCCACCGGACACCTACTCCACTGCCTGCCTTTCTCTCTGCTGACTCTGAAGGCTGGGGCTGCAGGGTTCAGTCCCTCCCCAACAATCCCTTTCCTGCTAGCCACCGGACACCTACTCCACTGTCTGCCTTTCTCTCTGCTGACTCTGAAGGCTGGGGCTGCAGGGTTCTGTCAGTGAGGGAGTCTTAGTAAGGGGCAGGAGACTGGGAATAGACGACCAGCTCAGCCAATGGGACAAGTCTCATCGTGTTCTCACTCCAGGGGGCTGTTGCTGATGTTGATGGAGACGGGGAGACTGAAGTTAGGGGTTTGGGTTGCCGGGCACTGATCTTCAGGAAATAATATGATGTTCCATCCACCTGAAAAGTATGATCATTACAGTCAGTCTCAAAGACAGAGAGAGAAACAGACAGACAGACAGATGAACAGAGGACATGGGTGCATTCCAGAGAACAAACAGACAGACACATGAACAGAGGACATGGGTGCATCCCAGAGGACAATTTGCAGGAGGGTCTCTCCGTTCACATCAGGGTTCAGGGACTGAACACAGGTGTCAGATTTGTGAACTGCACATCACCCACTAAACCATCTCATCTGCCCTAATCCTGGTTTGTGTGTGTGAAACACGATTAATAAAAAAAAAAAAAACAAAAACTCAAGATCAGAAACTGGGATTCAACCTGAAGATTCAAAAAGTAAAACAGCTAGTCACTGGCTCTTACCTCGACCTCAGTCTGAAATGGCGATACTGCTTCCAGAAATCTCAGAAGTAGACTGTGTGTCCGAGAGCTGTTTCTTCCCATTTTATAATCCTCTCTAGGGTTGGTATTAAAGGCATGCACCACCATCATTAAAGGCATGCACCGCCCAGTTTCTATAGCAACTGGGATTAAAGGTATGTGTCATTATGGTTACTGGGATTAAAGGTGTGTGTTACTGTGGCTACTAAGATTAAAGCTGTGTGTTACCATAATCTAGTCTGTAAGGCTAACCAGTGGGACTGTTTTACTCTCAGATCTTCAGGCAGTCTTTATTTATTAAAATACAATTCAAATGCCACTATATGTGTGTTTGTGTGAACCGGCTCTTATGTCACCCAGGAGTCCCCATGTTCTCCAGTGCTGTGATTTCAGGTGTGCACCCCCAGTCCTGCTTTATGTGCTGCTGTGGATCACACCTAGGCCAGATACAGCCAGACATGCACTCCAGCAATGGCACTATGTTTCTAGCCTTTTACATTCTTTAAGTGACTGTCTCAATTGCTAAGAAGAATATAAAGTTACTATGTGCAGGAGCTTTCGGGCAAAGAACAGAGGCACTCCATAGTCCCCTCTTTTAAGAGTCAACCCACCGAGCTAGAGACCTCTGTGGGACCTGGCCAAGCCAGGGACCTCCACAGGAGCAGTCCTGAACTAGCAATCTCCACAGGAGCAAGTACCAGGGAACAACAGCCAAGGAAGCAGGCCTGAGCCAGAGACCTCTGCAGGAGCAAGCCCAAGGCAGCGACCTCAATGGGAGCAGCCCCAAGCAAGCAACTTCCCAGGGAGCAGGCCCCAAAGACCTCTGGGATTGCAGAGTGATCCGCAGGAGAACCCAGCAACCTCTAGGAACACCGGAGTGACTTGAACTGTGGCCCTAACTACACCACAAGGAGCAACCCTCTGAGCCTTGGGTCCACTGGCACCTGGAAGATTGATCAACCAGAGACACAGCCCAATCAGAGGAAAAGATGGGTAGACAAGGCAAGAGCACACTCAGCACCACAAAGAGCAACACAACACCAACAAAAACTAGTGGCTTTAAAACAGCAACACTTGAACATACAAATATAAATGAAGCAGAAGAAAATAACCTAAAAAATAACTTTAGAAGAATGGTTGAGGTTCTTAAAGAGGAAACAAAAAATTCCCTCAAAGAAATGGAGGAAAAGACAAACAAAAAATTGGAAGAAATCAACAAACCCCTTAAAGAAAACCAAGAAAAAGCAATCAAACAGGTGAAAGAAATGATTCAAGACTTGAAAACTAAAATAGAGACAATAAAGAAAACACAAACTGAGGGAATTCTGGAAATGGAAATTATGAGAAAATGATCAGGAGCCACAAATGAAAACATAAACAGCAGAATACAAGAGATGAAAGACAGAATCTTAAGCACCGAAGATACAATAGAGAAAATAGACTTGGTCTATTTTCAAAGAAAACATTAAATCTAAAAAAAGCTTAACACAAAACATCTAAGGAAATATGGGACACCATGAAGAGATCAAATCTAAGAATAATAGGGATAGAAGGAGAAGAACTTCAACTCAAAAGCACAGAAAATATATTCACCAAAATCATAGAAGAAAACTTTCCCAACATAAAGAAAGATATGCATATGAAGATAAAAGAAGCTTGTAGAACACCAAATTGACTGGATCAAAAAAAAAGTTCCCTTAACACATAATAATCAAAACACTAAACATATAGAATAAAGAAAGAATATTAAGAGCTGCAAAGGAAAAAGGCCAAGTAACATATAAAGGCAAACATATTAGAATTACACCTGACTTCTCATTGGAAACGATGAAAATCAGAAAGTCCTGGTAAAGTTTTATGCAGACAATGAGAGACCATGAATGCCAGCCCAGATTACTATACCCAGCAAAACTTTCAATCACCATAAATGGACAAAACATTATATTCCATGACAGAACCATATTTAACCAATGTCTAACCACAAACCCAGCCCTACACAAAGTACTAGAAGGAAAACTCCAACCCAAGGAAGTTAGCTACATCAACAAAAATACAGACAATAGAAGATTTCACAGCAGTAAATCCCAAAGAAGGGAAAAACACACAAAATAACATCACCAGCTATGAAAACTAAAATAACAGGAGAAAACAATCACTGGTCATTAATATCCTTTAATATAAATGGACTCAACTCACCTATAAAAAGACACAGGTTAAAACATAATCTAGAAGGATGGAAAACATAATCCATCCTTCTGCTGCATATAAGAAACACACCTCAACCTCAAAGACAGATATCATCTCAGAGTAAAGAATTGGGGAAAAAAAATTTCCAATCAAATGTACCTAAGAAACAAGGTGGTGTAGCTGTCCTAATATCTAGCAAAATAGACTTCAAACTAAGATCAATCAAAAGAGACAAAGAATGACATTTCATATTAGTCACAGGAAAAATCCATCAAGAGGAAATCTCGATACTGAATGTCTATGCCCCAAATACAAGGGCACCCTCATATGTAAAAGAAACACTACTAAAGTTTAAATCACATGTTAAATCTCACACAGTAGGGCTGGAGAGATGGCTCAGAGGTTAAGAGCACAGATCTTTCTTTCCAGAGGTCCTGAGTTCAATTCCTAGCAATCACATGGTGGCTCACAACCATCTGTAATGAAATCTGGTGCCCTCTTCTGGCCTGCAGGCATACATGCAGACAGAATACTGTAAACTAAATAAATAAATCTTTTTTAAAAAAAAAATCTCACACAGTAATAATAGGAGACTTCAACACCGCACTCTCACCACTGGACAGATCTGTCAGACAGAAAATTAACAGAGAAATAAGGTAACTAACAAATGTTATGATTCAAATGGACTTAACAGATATCTATAGAACATTCCATCAGAACATAAAAGAATATACCTTCTTCTTAGCACCTCATGGAACCTTCTCAAAAATTGACCACATACTAGGTAACAAAGCAAACCTCAACAGATACACACACACACACACACACACACACACACACACACACACACAAAGAAAAAAAAAGGAATAACCCCATTTATCTTATCAGAGCACCAAGACTTAAAATTAGAATTCAACAGCAACACTAATTTCAGAAAACCCACAAACATATGAAAATTAAACAATACTCATCCAAATTATCAATGAGTCAATGAAGAAATAAAGGAAGAAATTAAAGACTTCCTAAAATTCAATGAAAATGACCACACGACATACCCAAATTTATGGGACACAATGAAAGCAGCATTTAGAGGAAAGTTCATAGCACTAAGTGCCTACATGAAGAAGCTGGGAAAGAATCCCATTACAAGTGAGTTAACAGAACATCTGAAAACTCTAGAACAAAAAAGAAGTAAACTCACCCAGGAGGACTAGACTCCAGGAAATAATCAAATTGAGAGCTGAAATCAACAAAATAGAAACAAAGAAAATACAAAGAATCAATGAGACAGAGTTGGTTGCTCGAGAAAATCAACAAAATAGACAAACCTTTATCCAAACTAACCAAAAGGCAAAGAAAGAATATCCAAATTAACAAAATCAGAAATGAAAAGGGGGACATAACAAGAGACACAGAGAAAATACAGAAAATCATCAGGTCATATTTTGAAAACCTGTACTTCACAAAATTGGAAAACTTAAAGGAAATGGACAACTTTCTGGATAAATATCACCATCAAAAGTCTCCCAGATAGTTTCAGTGCAGAATTCTACAAGATTTCAAAAAACTAATACCAGTATTCCTCAAAAATGTTCCACACAATAGAAACAGAAGGAACACATTGCCAAACTCTTTTTATGAGACTACAATTACCCTGATACCCAAACCACACAAAATGCAACTAAGAAAGAGAATTACAGACCAATCTCCCTCATCAACTTTGACACAAAAATACTCAATACTGGCAAACCAAATCTAAGAATACATCAGAAAAAAAATCATCCACCATGATCAAGTTGGTTTCATCCCAGAGATGAAGGGATGGTTCAATAAACAAAATCTGTCAATGTAATCCACCATATAAACAAACTTGGGGAAAAATGCATAATCATCTCATTAAATGCTGAAAAGTGCTTCAACAAAATACAACACCCCTTTATGACAAAGGTCTTGGTAAGAGCAGGGATACAAGGAAGATACCTAAACATAATAAAGGCAATATACAACAAGCCAACAGCCATCATCAAACTAAATGGAGAGAAACGCAAAGCAATTCCACTGAAATCAGGAACAAGGCAAGGTTATCTACTCTCTCCATATCTATTCAATGTAGTTCTTGAGGTCCTAGCTGGAGCAATAAGACAACAAAAGGAGATAAAGGGGATACAAATTGGAAAAGAAGAAGTCAAACTCTCACTATTTGCTAATGGTGTGATAGTTTACATAAGTGACCCCAAAAAATTTATGAAGGAACTTTTACAACCCATAAACCCCTTCAGTAATGTAGCAGGATACAAGATTAACTTGGAAAAGGTCAGTAGCCCTCCTGGTACACAGACAATAAATAGGCTGAGAAAGAAATAAGAGAAACATCACCCTTCATAATAACCACAAATAACATCAAATATCTTGGAGTAACTCTAACCAAACAGTGGATGACCTATATGACAAAAACTTCAACTCTTTAAAGAAAGAAATTGAAGAAGACATCAGAAAATGGAAAGATCTCCCATGCTCTTGGATAGGTAGAATAACATAGTAAAAATGGCAATCTTACCAAAAGTAATCTACAGATTCAATGCAATACCCAAAAAATCCCCCCCAAAAAAAATCTTCACAAAAGAATACTCAACTTCATATGGAAAAGCAAAAACCCAAGATAGCCAAAACAATTCTGTACAATAAAGGAACTTTATTCTGGAAGCATCACAATCCCTGACTTCAAACTCTACTACTGAGGTACCATAACTGAAAACAGCCTGGTATTGGCATAAAAACAAACAAGAGGACCAATGGAACCGAATTGAACACCCGGATATCAATCCACATACCTACGAACACCTGATTTTTGACTAAGAAGCAAAAATTATAAAATGAAAAAAAGAAAGCATATTCAACAAATGATGCTGGTATAACTGGATATCAACATGTAGAAGAATGAAAATAGATCCATATCTATCACCATGCAAAAAACTCAATTCCAGATGGATCAAAGACCTCAACATAAAATCAACACTGAACTTCATAGAAGAGAAAGTGGGAAGGACACTTGAACACATTTGTACAGGAGACCACTTCCTAAGTATAACCCACATAGCACAGACACTGAGAGAAATATTAGTAAATGGGACCTCCTGAAACTGAGAAGCTTCTGTAAAGCAAAGGACACTGTCAATAAGACAAAACAGCAGTCTACAGAATGGGAAAAGCTCTTCACTAACCCCACATCAAACAGAGGTCTGATCAGCAAAATATACAAAGAACTCAAGAAATTGGTTATCAAAAGAACAAATCCAATAAAAAAAAATGGAGTACAGACCTAAACAGAGAACTCTCAACAGATGAATCTAAAATGGCTGAAAGGCACTTAAGGAAATGCTCAACATCCTTATCTGTCAGAGAAATGCAAATCAAAACAACTCTGAATTCCATCTTACATTTGTAAGAATCGTCAATATCAAAAACACTGATGACAACTTAATGCTGGAGAGGTTGCTGGTGGGAATGCAAACTGGTACAGCCACTTTGGATATCAGTACAGCAATTTCTCAGAAAATTAGAAAACAACCTACCTCAAGACTCAGCAATACCACTTTTGGGTATATACCCAAAGGATGCTCAATCACGTTACAAGGACATGTGCTCAACTATGTTCATAGCAACATTGTTTGTCATAGCCAGAACCTGAAAAGAACCTAAATGCCCCTCGACCAAAAGAGAAAGAAAGAAAGAAAGAAAGAAAGAAAGAAAGAAAGAAAGAAAGAAAGAAAGAA